CGCTCGGTTGCGTGTCCGGCGACAACTGTCGTTTCAAGCACCTGTGCATGGTCTGTGGGGAGCCGCATGCCATGATCAGCAACCACTGATCGGTTCCCAGTGAATCTGATAGTGCTCCTCACCTTACCTTGTCCGGCGCGCGTGGGGGCTGTGATCTGGAATCCCGCGCACAAGATCTCCTGAGAAAGCGAGCTCCGCTTCTGCGTGAGGAGATCCTCGACTTGGCTACAGAGCTCCCTGTTCAGGGTCAGCATAAGGCTGCCGACGAACGAGGCGGGGCTTTCTTCGCGGGAGCCTATCGCCACGGGGGCATTACAAGACTGCGATCGTCATGTCACTCATGGCCGTGGTCGATCAAGGCGATCACCACGTACATCGCTCAACAGGCTCCTGAGGCGCTCTTCACGTCGTTCGCCGTCCTCTACGATCAGGAGGCCGAACCTCACCGTGACTCGGGCAATGAGCCGATCCCGAACATTGTCTTCCAGCTCGGGTCGTTTGAAGGAGGCGGGCTCTGGATCGAAGACCCGCTCGGGCCCGATGTAAGAGAAATCGAGGGACGCTCCATCCCCGGTTTCCTCACCGACTTCGTCGACAATAAGATCCTCTTCAACGCTAAGGAAGCTCTGCACGCAACTCTGCCCTGGATCGGAACTCGGGTGGTCCTCGCCGTGTACTCGGTGCAGGGGGTCGATCGGATCCCTGCCGACGAGTTCGAACAACTCCTTCAGTTGGGCTTCCAGCCGGCGCCGGTGAACACAGGTGATCACGTGGATCGGTCCTGGCAAACTCTCACTTTTGCGCTCGAGACCCCGGACTCCGATCGGAAGCGGCCCCATGGCGCCCCGGTCAAAGCCGCGGAACATCGTCAACGATCGGCCGGCAAGAAGGCCGTCGCCGCGGGTTACCAGATGAAGAAGTCTGTCGTGGCTCCGCTGATCGGCACGGAGATGCACCCGGGTGAAGCGATCGCTTTCGCCTTGGAAGCTACGCACCCGTTCACAAAGGACGCGGATATCGACCCAGACCTCCTTGATGTTCTGGAGCAAATTGTTCGTGATCCTGCTCAAGTGCGCGATCGTCGAGCCTCTCTTCTGCAGCATTGGGAACAGCGAGCTCAAGATTTGCTCCCGTCCTCTGACTCCTTGCTCAAGCAGATACCAGACCGGCATCTGCGCCGTCTTCTTCGCGGCGGCCCGGACGGTCGTCCACTGGAAATGGGTCAGTTTTTCCACGTCGCCCTTTGGCGGGAGCTCATGAATGAGGCCAAATGCAGTGACACTGACCTGGTAGATCAGATCATGGCGGGCATGCCGATCGTCGGCGATATTGCCTCCTCCCACCGATGGAAGCCCGATCGCAAACCTCATGCGGAGCATCTCTCGGTTGATGCCCTTCGCTCGAGGGCCTGGGAATTTCGATCGAAGGTGTTAGGCGCGATTCGGAAATCTCCGATCACCGAGCACTCTCCCAAGGTCTGGGAAGGGACCATGGAAGATGTTCGAGAAGGGTCGGCGATCGGTCCCTTCTTCGACGAGGCCGAAGTCTCGGAGTTCGTCGGCGATGATCGTTGGATCCCTACTCAGCGCTTTGAAGTGGTTCAAAAGAACAAAGTCAGGGGAGTTGACAGTGCTACCTCAAATGGGATCAACATGGCGACGATCGTCACCGAGAAACTCGAACTCCCCTCGACGGACGCGAACGTGGCGGTGATCAAGTGGCTGCGCTCGCGGCTGCCGAAGTCCCCGCTACGTGGTTGGGTCCTGGACGAGCGGCGAGCCTATCGGCAGGTGCCGATCTCTCCGGCCCATCGCAAGTGGAGTGTGGTCGCTCTGAAGGATCCGGCCACGGGAAAGGTGGCGTTCTTCGTGATGGTCGGCCACTCCTTCGGCTTGGTCTCGGCCGTCTATAACTACAACCGCCGCTCGGCTGCGATTACCGACATTCTAAGGCGCGTGTTCATCGTGGCCGGCTTCAACTTCTATGACGACAAGTACGGCTTCGAGCCGGAGGCCACGGCAGATAGTGCGTTCGCGCTGGCCGAGAAGGTCCATTGGTGGCTCGGGGCCCGGTTCGATCAGCAGAAGCTCCAGCTCTGCTCGGATCCCACGATCCTGGGCGTGACCTATGACCTCGATCAGTACTTGCTCAAGATCAAGAAGTCCAGGAAGCAGGAGCTCTTCGACGAGATCTCGTCGATCCTGGAACACGAAGAGATGTCTCCCGGCCAAGCCGGGAAGCTCAGAGGAAAGCTGATGTTCGGCGCTTCGCAGCTCTGGGGGAAGATCGGCCGAGCCTTCCTGAGATCTCTGTCGGAGAGGCAATACTCCCGGAAGACGGTCAGTACGAGCCTATCGCCTGCTCTCCTCTACTCCCTCTACAAGTGGCGGACGCTCGTGATGCATGGGCCTCCGAGGCCTATCCCCAGTTCGGGGCCGCGGAAGTCCGACGTGGTGATCTTCACGGATGGATCGGCGCCGAGCTCGAACCCCAAGGATCCCTCTTCTGAGATGATTGGAGGAGTGATGTTCACTAGGGACGATCAGCCTAGGCAATTCGCCTCGGGGGTGTCACGGCAGATCATGTCGAGGTGGTTCCCCCGGAAAACCCAAATTTGCATGATCGAACTTTTGGCCGCGGTCGCTGCGATACAGACTTTCAGGGAAGAGATCCGTGGAAAGCTGGTCCTCCTCTTTATCGATTCCGAGCCTGTAGAGGCAGCTTTGATCAAAGGCTACTCTGCAAAAGAGGACGTCTGCGAGCTCGTAGGAATTTTCTGGGAGCTTGTTCTGGAGCTTAGGTGCTCTGTTTATATCGATCGGGTACCGACCGATTCGAACCCGGCGGATAATCCCTCTCGTGGTGATGTCGCTACAGGTCTGATGTGTGGTTGGATCACGGTCCTCTCGGACTTTCCGAAAGGAGTTTGAGGGCCTGGGAATATCGCTTGTCTGATGTGTCCGATCGGATGATGTTGCGGTCTGTGGCGAATGCCATGGCGCACCCCTCGGCGATCGGGGGTCCGATCGGACTTGTGAAGATCAAGTGAAATTTTGATGATCCGACTGTGGCCGACTCCCACGTTGCGGTCGCATGAAAAAGGTGCGATCGCCGATAGTCTGTTCAGTGAGGGCACCGAACGTCTGCGATCGTAGTAACTGGTCTCCTAATTATCGGTCTGGTGGGTAGGAATTAGGAGATCAGTTTCGCGATCGTTGGAACAGACTTGATCTATTTTCTCCGTGGCCATTTTGGCGATAGCCGATCGGGCCATACCGAAAAATCCCACCCTCTCCACCCTATCTGTTCTTTTCGGTATGCGGGATCCTCGCAACGACGTTGGCCTTCAAGCGCTCGCTTTCGGCGACACAGATCAGCTCTGCCGTCCCTGCGTGGATTGCGGCCTGTTCACCGGCTGCTTCTGCGACGGGGACGGCCAAGACGAATGTTACGCAGCCGTTCGGGTCCCCCGCGAAGAGTGGGCCCCCAACCAGCGCACTCCTTTGTGCACGGCTTGCGATCGTCGCCTGGATATGTGTCATTTCTGCCGAAAGACCCCCTGGGTCACGCCGCCGGCTCATCGTGATCGCGATCGTCACCAGCCGGCCGGCTACGATCACGGGGCAGATCCTCCCCTCAACTGGGATCAAGTGATGGGCGTGCCCTCTGTTCAGCGGCCGGTGCCCAAAGCGCCCCCGGCCAAAGCTCATCGCAACAGAGGCATGGATCAGCCGGTCTACTATGTGGATCCCAAGGCTGGTCCTCCACGCCAAGGCCGAGCGGCTCCGAAAGGGCGTTCTCCTTTGTTCGCCGAGCCTGCTCAGTACATAGTTCCAGGGCAGCCCCCCAGATCGCTCGACGCCGTGCCCGCTGACGTTCACATCAGCGGACCGGCTCACTATGTCATTCCGGGGCAGCCCCCACGGCGGCTGGATCAGCTCCCGCCCGGTACGCAGCTCCCTCCCGGCACCGAGATCATGGTGCCTACGAGGAGCTCGAGTCCGCCGCCCAAAGCGCCGCCGACTCCCGCCCAGATCGCGGCGTACCAGGCTTCTCGCGCTACTTCCGCTCGGACGAAAGCCAAAGCTACTCCTGATGCAGCTTTTCGTGCTGCCGAGCGGCAGTTGATCGACTTGCTCGGCGCGGCCCCCCTCACGACGATCCGATCGAGGAGCCGTCGCCGGAGCCCGATGATCCGATCGAAGACTTTTAATTTTGTTCGCGGGGAATATCGCTTGTCTGATGTGTCCGATCGGATGATGTTGCGGTCTGTGGCGAATGCCATGGCGCACCCCTCGGCGATCGGGGGTCCGATCGGACTTGTGAAGATCAAGTGAAATTTTGATAGGGAATATCGCTTGTCTGATGTGTCCGATCGGATGATGTTGCGGTCTGTGGCGAATGCCATGGCGCACCCCTCGGCGATCGGGGGTCCGATCGGACTTGTGAAGATCAAGTGAAATTTTGATGATCCGACTGTGGCCGACTCCCACGTTGCGGTCGCATGAAAAAGGTGCGATCGCCGATAGTCTGTTCAGTGAGGGCACCGAACGTCTGCGATCGTAGTAACTGATATATATATATATATATATATCAGCGGAGCCACAGTATTCGCACGGAATGTGTGCATGAAAGGTTGCGGTCAAAGGCTTCTAGCTTTCACTCCATAAAGTGTTTTTGTCTCTTGCTTCAGTTGATGCGAGTCTGCCAACAAGCGCATTCTGCAGCAGTGTGTAATGCAGGAGTGCAGCGTAGTGAGTTGGCTTCAGCTTGGCTCTGACTTGGAGGTTCTGCTGTCCAGCTGAGATCTGCTGTACCGTGTACTAGATGTGTCTCGCATAGCTGTGAGTAGCGCCCGCACATCCTTCACAACGACGTGTACCGTACACTACTGTACCTACTCGCGGCAGTGGACCTATGCTTTCTGATCCATTCAAAGGAGTGACGGTTAGACTTATCAAGTCGATGGGTTAGGAACCACTAGACGGCCGTGCCTGAGGATGGGAGCACACTCAGGCAGTACTGCTGGCGGTCCGTTCGCTACATACGGCCTTCGCGTCTCAGCCCTGAGGTGATCCCCTGGAAGCTTATATCCGGTTGGAGGACGCAAAGAGCTGCAGCGCCGACCAGCGCTGCCTTTGCCGCTGCACCTGCCAGGATGGCGAAACTTCACCTTTGAAGTCTGCATCTGCTGAACGTCACGATGCAGCCAGCACCTCTTCTCGGGGCATGCGGCCCGCCTGTTTGCGACGGTGGCCCTGCCCTTTGCATTCGTAGACCGAGGCAATGGCTGGAATTGAGCGGAAGATGGAATGGCTGAACCTCCAACTGCCACAGTCTCAGTGAGCGTTGTCGGGGCATGTTCGGGAAGTGACGCTGTGAAGGAATGTGCTGGCCATCGTCTTCTCCTTGATCGGTGGCCTGTTACTTTGGGCCTGGTACTATGACCAGCTTCCACCAGAACATCAACACCAGGACCGGGTGGGTAAGCTCGAAGTTGGTTTGCTTGATCTTTCTGACCTTATGTTTCTGAGTTGGAAACCAGCTGCAACCAGAAACACAATGTGTCTCGATAAGTGCGAGTTGATATTCAAATTGATACAGGCAACCTGCACTACAGACCATTTCCAAAGCATCTGGAGAGAGAGATTTTTCGACTAGCACATCATCGCAATGCATGTTGCACAGAGTCGTGGACGTTGGGTGCTGCATAAAAGTAGATTCATGCAAGAGATCGCTGAAACTGTGAGCCAATGCGACCCAGAAAGCCACAGCAAGCAACCAACAAGATTGAAGGAAGAGCCAATTCCTGCATGGTTTCTTACATGCGTGTCGCTTCCACGGAGATTAGCTGTTGCAGGGCAGGTCCAGTTGCTAAGGCCCGTAGCTACAGCTTGCGGCATGCAGTCTCCTGCTGCCATTGCAAGGTTGATAGCGAGAACAGGAATAGCCAGTCAAACTCGTCGTTTACAGCAATCCAGTCTAGCTTGTTTGTTCAGTCGCCCAGCGAAGCGATTGCTCCAGGTCTACCGCACTGCCCTGCTGGTATCAATTCCAGTAGTGGCGCTGTTCTTCACGTGGCGATGTGCCAAGCTTCGCGAAATCTACAAGATTTTGTGTCGACTGAATTGTTTGGCTCAGGTTCCACATATGGCTAGCCATCAAGATGATGCATGGCCCCTGGAGAGCTTAAAGCATCCTCGCTCATCTGTTATGGTCAGCGTCTTTTCAAACAAGGTTTCTTCCAATCAGATTTTTCGGCATTTGGCAGTGAGCCAGTGTCATTGCAGATAGTGCCCACTCACCTTCTTCCGCTTGCTCAAAAGTTGCAGGTACGCCAACACAGGCATCGGCATTGGCTGGCAGGGAGTGATTCCGAGGCATGATTGCTTTGTGAGTATTCTGCTGCCGTGTAGGCTTGCATCAAAGACCGCCGTGGCAGGAAAGCCGAGAAGATGGGCAGGATTGCGTTTAGTTGCGCAAGGCCAGAGAGTGTTAACAGCTCCGAATAGACCTGACAGAGTGTGACCCTGACAACCTGAACCTGTCCTGGTCAAAAGGCCGTATCTTATGGGGCCGAGTGACTGGTTTGCTCGCGTGGATACGAGCTTGCTATTTGCCAAGGTGCGTTAACTTGTTCAAGCCCAGAACCCTTGGCATTCGCGGTTAATGCTTATGATCTTCGCTTCGTGCCAGATTCATCCGATGCTGGAGCGAGTTGCGCGGGACCACTGCTGAGTGGCTGACACTGCAGCTCTACTGAGCTTGACATGGCCAGCTCAGGCTTCCATGGCAAGCGTGATAAGACGCCACTTCCCGTCGATGCTTGCCAATCCCTTAAGATCGCACGCCAATCCAAAGGATTGTGCTTCTCAGATTTCAGGCCAAAGATGGACGCTTGCCTCCGAGCGTGGAGAACGAACTGCTGTCAATCGTAATGGACAAAATCGAGGTGGGCGGTTTGGCGAAACTGCGAGTGGTCCTGTGCTGACTTTGCAGGAGAGCTTTCCAGACATGTGGCACAAAGTCACAACAAAGCTTTGTGATCCTGTAATAGGCCGGTTGATGACTTGGGATAGAGAGGGTAGCTACTCATGCGTTTTGGAATGAAGGTCTTGACAACGACGGTATGATCGTGGCTGTTTTCAGTGAGCACAAGGCGGCATAATGCTTCCACAGCTGCTACCACAGCTTCTCTTAGCGCCCCCACTGTCTGTCTGTCTGCCTGCCTGGCTGGCTGGCCGGCTGGCTGGCTCTGTGTGTGTGTGTGTGTGCACTGATTACCTCATGGCCACAATGCCAAATGCCTCGAAGTTTCAGACGTTTTCTGCCAGCCAAAGTTTGTCAATTTGTCGGTTCGAAACCTTTCAGGTGGCGGTGAAGGGATCGCGGTAAGAGAATGCGTGTTGCCAAGCAACTCCACGACATGTGCCAACATTTCGTAACTTCGTAGAGCGAGACAGAACACACACGAAACACAAGTTCCGAGCCTTGGCTCAACCTTTGCAAGAAGCAAGTACCAGCGCAGCAGGTCGAAAAGACGTTTGGACTGACAAATGGATAGATGTACGGACGCATGCATTGATGGATGACTGGATGAGTGGATGAATGGATGGATGGATGGGATCATGTCCGGTGCTGCCTCTCTGCTCTAGCTGCATCCCGAAACGATCGTTTCTCGTTCTTCATCCCCACGAATACCTTCGAAACGGGCAGCAGCTTGTGTTGCATTCTTTGCTTACGTTGCTTGCCATGAGTGCATCTAGCCAGTGCTCCAGGAGCTCTTGAACCATTTTTTCCTTTCCATGGGAGACCGAGAGTTCCGTTTCATTGAGCGCCCGTTTCTCGGTTGCTCGGTGCGATGTGTCGGATGGGTCTCATGATCAACCTCAGTTTCCGAGGATCTGGGGCGGTGCTTGGCTTTGTTTGTGGCCTCATCCAGCATCTGCGATGAATTAGATGGAGTGCACATAAATCGGCACTTCCAACTGCTACGCTAGTCAGCTAGTAGTGAAATCTGCGTGTGGCACAACATGCTTCAGCAGCATTTGAGCGAGGCTGCTTGCCTTCAACTACTTGGACGCAACAGGCCCGGCAAGCCAAAAAGCCTTGAGTCGAGATGTTCGTGTTCGAACTTGCGCACGACGCTGGGTTTTGCTGTCGCGAGCCTGTATGGCTGGCTCTCATGTGAGGCAGGATGATTCTACTGCCAGGAACAGGTTTCTTCCTTGGAATATTCACCAACTGGTTGCTCGGAGAAATCAGCTATAAGCTTGATAGAGCCTGTTGATGGTGTCGTCTGGTGACTGCGACGCTGCAGGCTGGCAATACAAATGTGCTTCAAGCCGTGCCATCCACGGCCTGTTCGGGCACATGTCTCAGTCAACGCCTTGCTGCAAAATCCCCGCTTGCCATAGACTGAAACCACTGCATTGCGCATCCATAGTCTGATGGTCTGCCTGCACTGCATTGCGCGCATCTTTCGAAACTCAGGTGTGTGGATGGTACTTGGGCAGCATCCAGGGCCTTTTTTTGAAGAGACAGAGGCAGGCCAATTCCTGATGATGCTTTCGCTTCACCGCTGCAGCCCACACCAGGGACGTAGCAACTCTCTATGCCAAGCTGCTGGTGGACCATTTCTTCGATTTTCACAAGGCAGCACGTTCATGACAGATCCTTTTTTTTGAAGCATTGCTGATCAGGTGATAGCATACCTGCAAACCATCCCCGTTTGGGCAGATCTGCAGGACGGATAGACCAATGGTCAAGTTGCCAACCTGTACGGAAGGGACGACATGATCTACTCATATTACGCAGAGTATGGAGAATCTTGTTCACATTCATTCGCCGTGGGGCCGTGGAGAGGACATCTATAACCAGAACATCCAGAACATGATGAAGCAGACCATGGGTAAAGCGGGCTCATGGATTGCCGGTCGCTTAGGAGGACGAAGGCGAAGCAGGGTAGTCGAACAAGAGCAGCACCGTGCAGCACCAAAGCAAATCGCTGAAGCACTGCTGAAAGGAGAGCCAGACAGTCAAGCAGAGCTACATGAAGCAGTGCAGAGAAGCGGCGACGCGATGGCGTAAGCATCGGGATATGTGATGCGACACCAGAGATCCACATTGCAACATATTGCACACCTTGACCACCGCATGATAAAGCCGTCCGCATGTCGGGCATCCTGACCAACCAGGCAGAAAAGGGGTGTAAAACCATCTGCGAAGGATGAGACTTGCGGAAGGCTTCCGGATGGCCGGGCACTTCATACAACAGCAAGGACCTACCAGACGCAAACGGGCCTCGACCTTCACATAGCCTGTTGAAAGGGCTCTCCCGAGCATAAGTGCTTTCAACGGTGGATCCGACCTCAGACTTCCCTGGAGTGCGCAACGATTTCCCATGTTTTGAGGCTCCTGTCGCAGTTGGCTCTCACAAGCTTCAGGCGGTGCAGGCTGACCGGCGTCACGATTGAGTTTTGGCTTGGGGGAACTCCAGAGACGGAGACGGATAGAGAGAGCAAGAGAGTTCGTTTTCTTTTGGCTGAAGCCATTGTGGCTCAAGCCGTGAACGGTTCAAGGAAGGGTGGCCTCACTGCCCCCCTGTCTCTTCTCTCCTTTCCGCTCTGTTCCGAGGCCACTTTCTCAACCCGGGGCTTGCCTCTTGCACACGGCCATACCTCTTCGTCTTCTGAAGTGATTACGGCTTCCGTGCGCTCCTGGAGCTCCTCGTCCTTTCCCGTGAAGTCGGTGGCTTCGGACCTCGACGGCAACCGCTGCTGGGTGCGGATCCTTCTACTGGTCCTCAACAACCATCTGACCGTGAATTGGCTGGTCGCACCTGCCAGCCCTGCGGCCCTGCGGAATCGGGCAGACGATGGGGGAAACCCCGAGTTCGCTGGGCTGCCCAACTTCAGTGCTACATAGTGCCACTGCTTCCGACCCCATGTCCCCTGCGAAGCGCCAATGCAGAAGAAGGGAAACCCCGACGCTCCAGATGCTTCAGGACAACCTGTGTGGAGTGCTTAGCCGTGAACATGCAGAACTGCGCAAAGAAATCCATGGGGCACTTACCGGGCCTAAATCCCTCGCTTGAGAAAGGCCTTGAGCAGCACGGAGCGCGCAGTTTGCAAGCCATTGAGACGCTCAGTGTGGCCCAATCAGAGCAAGGCTACGCATCCAGAACATCGTAGATGATACGGCTAAGCTGAGCCAGCGAATGTCTGTTTTGGAGAACAAGGTTATGGACATCCATTTGGTGGGAAGCCCCCTCCACACAGACTCAGGCCGCGTCCCAGCACTGATTATGGAGGGGTGGGCCGCAGGCACGTTAGCTGCACATGTCGGGAAAGGCAAGCAAAATGGCCAGAAGCCTTCGCCTGGAGCTTAGCATGCAAGACGCCTTTGTTCCTGGAATTAGGTGTGGATTCGTGCTGATCTCGATTAAGCCGAATGAATGCACAGGAGTCGGACGAAGAGATGCGCCAAAGAGCTCAACGCTGCACCCAGCATGTCAACCAAGCAGGGGTAACAAAACCCGATGCAAACGCTGCAAAGCTCTGGCTGGCCGTGAGTCATCTTCCGGAGAAATGCAGGCGCGCTGCCGTGGCCGGTAAGGTCAAGTGGCTTATCATCGAGGTTGGGGGCATCCCCACATTGCCTTCCATTGAACCTGAGTGCTTTTATGTGCATGGGCGACGGGGACGGTGCACAATAGTCGCGCCTGCCTCCTCAACCCGGCACTGCCCTTTGCCACACGGCCGGCTGCGGATGGTTGGACTTGGCGGGGATCGCCGGCTTTCTTGGAACCTCACAAAAGAAGTCGAGACCGCGTGGGAAACGCTCCAGGCTGCCCTGCGATGAGAATGTGATATGCTGCAAACCCAGAGGGTTGTTTGCTGGGAGTTTCACCAACTCCTCGAAGAGGTGGTTAAGCTGCCTCCAAACAAATTTGGGGTGGCAAAACCTGGACGTCGGAGGACTTCTACCAAATGAATCCTGGACTTGCTCTCCCACCTTCGGGGACAGTTGCTCTTCCTACAGGCAGCCATTTTGAGGAAAAACAGGGACTGGGTTTTATTGCATGGTATAGAGAGAGATGAGTGAACAGGTTTGGGCAGTGCGTTTCACCAGCGAGTGGGGAACCATTCCTATACTTGGCTCACCAAGCTAGCTATGTCTTAGACAAGCCTGTGGTTTGTTTAGAGTGTGCTTTGTGTCTTGCCTGCAGTGGCCATCAGAACCCTTGCAATTCGTGTCCCAGGATCTCTTTGGCATGTTCGGGTTTTGAGGCGTGGCAAGACACAGCGACACAGTTCTGACGGTTCGAAACGTATTCCAACTGTTCAGGGATACGGCTGCATATAGTTCCCAGGAATGTGCACATAGTTCCTGTGATTTTTTGCAATCGTTCCAAAGCCCCTGTGAGCAGTCGCACATGAAGAATGCCCAGAGCATGCCAAGCTATGTCGACAGTCCTTATCACGCCCTACAAAAAAACTCATCGGGCTCATATCGGGACATATTTCACGCAAATTCACGATTGCCGACACAGCAGCACTTCCTAGCGAGTGGGGGAGGACCGCCCAGGTTGAGTTTGGGCATCGATGCCAACGTAACTTTTCTGCAACCCGGAGGACATCTAGGAGCCACCAAGCACCCTTCCCATACAGGAGCAAATCCTGCAATGGGCTGGGCTGCTCAATCACCTTTGACATGCCCTCACATCTTCCTCACAATCCCGAGCTTCAGCCCAGGAGGACGTGGCAGTTCGAGGGGTTAAGTCCGATTGGATTTCGACGAATTGATGCAAGCCCACCAGCATCACAGTATCTTGCCGACCAAAAGATCTTCGAGAATTGCCTCGAAACAGACTCGCAGGAAGCCATGGCAGTTATGAGGCATTACGCCACCATCCTCTGCCAGCAGCGTCGCTGGCGCCCGTTTACAGAGGAAGAAATGAGGATCACGATGTCCACGTGGAAGATTAGAAGAGCAACGGGCGTTGACGGCATAGCTCTGGAGGCGCTGCATGCCATGTTTGAGGACCCAGGGTGGCAACCCATAATCGCGGAGCTGCTGAACGACAGAATCTACCGGGGAGAGATTCGCGCCTTCGTCGCTGAAGGGTCATCGTTCCTCTTGCCCAGCACTTGCTGCCGCAACCATGGACAGAAACCCGACCCGTATCTCTCAAGCTGGTCGCAACTCCTGCAACTTAGGGATTCGCCCCTTTTGGAACAATGGGTGAGCAGGAACAAGCAGGGCTTGGAGCTCATCCCGGCCTTCCGCAGACTAAGCAGAGTCGCCCATTGTCTATCTTGTTAAACTAAACATTGAAAAGGCGTTCGACTCCGTAGTGTAACAAGGCTTCGGCGAACCGGTTATGCGCAATATCACGTTGCAGGGCGAAATTCCTTGGGAGGCAAGGCTCTGCCTTCGGCTGCTGGAAGTCAGGGAGTTGAGCTTCTACGTCAACGGCGAGAAGGTCACCGTGCCGCAAACAAACGGCGTACGACAGGGTATTCCGGAAATAGGGGCAATCCTCACCCTAGCAGTGGTCAACCGGGGACAACCTCCGCAGCAGGACAAACATCCCGAGCTCCAGCCCCCTCCGCACTCCGGTGGGACGTTTACGCAAGACAGGGAAATGCAGGCCTGGACGCATGTGCCCGCGCAGGAAAGTCGGGGCCTGATGCCCGCCTCGCCCAATCCCGACCATCTAAGCCCAGCGAGGTCTTTGCCCCAGCTTCTTCGCACGCTACAGCTAGACAGCGATGACCCGAGAGCAAGCAGAGCAATGTTTTTCCGAAGATCCAGCTCCAGCTAAGATAAAAGACTGCCGCATGCGAGTGAAGGGCAGCATGAACTCGACGGAGCTATTTCACACAGCATCAGATTTCGTGCGGTGGATTCGCGCGCAGCAGCAAGAAGTACTGGTACAAGCCGGGGCAGCAACGTCTCCCGAAGAGTTAGCTTCATAGCCCGGGATAGGTTTAGCATGGTTTAAATGGATCGTGCGCGTTTATATATACATATAGCTTGCAATCTGCTCGGCTATGGTGCAGTGCACGGGGTGTGGTGTGGTGTGGTGCATAGAGCTTTCGAGAAAAAGAATCGACTGCTCATTAATAGACATGTACAACTCCAAGGGCAGCTGTCTCCTTGACATCAGTTGCCCTCTCAATTGCCCAGCTTAGAAGTTGAAGTCGCCCAGCCGCCGTGGGCAGGATGACTTGGTTGGTGTCCGAAACTCAGACATGCTTGCTCCGAGTTTTCGGCAAATTGACCCACCGCACTTGTTCAATTTCACATCGGTCGTTGGTCTCGCGAAAGCCTTCTAAACACTGCAAAAGAAGCGAGCCACAACGCGCTTGGAAAGTCTTTTGTTTGCCCTTGCCACCGGGCCGTCAGCATTGCTGCAGCGTTCTACCTTGTGGCGTGTGCCCCAGTGAATGCCGCTTCCAGACTCTCAGTTGTAGTGTCGGGTTCCACTTCGAGGATCCAGCAGCAGCCGTCACCGGCACAACGCCAACTCGACCGTTTTTGAGTAGAATGCAGAGTTGCAGCTTTGGAGGTTTGCCGTGCTGGCTGTTTGGGCAGAGAGTGCCCGGGCTGGTAGAGATCTTCGACAGATGTAGCAGTTCGCACAAAGAGTGCAGCAGGGTTGGTTGGGTCCATCTGTTCAACAACACGACATGAAACCGAAGATCTTCCTGGACGGTCGATGTTGTTACAAGGCCTAAGAGAGCCTTGAGTGCGCTATGGTCACAATGGTTTAGATGCATTGCTTCCCGAGGCATCCGCACAACGCATTGCAGAGAACGATGAGTTGCAGCAGGCGGTGCTGTGCTCAGCGGGACGACTGAAGACAGCAGCGGCAGGCGCCTGGAGCTGTGCACGACTCGACCAAGGCCTCGCAATACTTGGCAGTGGCAACCGACGTCTTCAGGCGTGCAGCTGATGGTGATTGCCTTTGCAATGCCCGTTTGCTAACCCTGTTCTTCAGGTCCAATGCTGTGGCCATGCAGAAGATGCTGGGCTCCTACTCTGCTCATCTCTCTGCCCTGGAACTTGGGTCAGCTTGGTGAGGGAGCAGATCTTGGATTTGTGAGGCCACCAGATGAGTTTGAGCGTCTCCTGCACCCTGTCTTCCAAGAAGATGAGCCGGGAGCTTGTATCCTTCTGGGGCTTGTGGCGATTTGCTGCTTCTTTCGGCTCCTGTCATTTTTGTGAAGCTGGTGAAATTCTGCCGCGTGTGCTGGTGCATGAGCATGGCGTGAAGGGGTTGTCGGTAACAGCTTCATTACAAGTCGGAAGGTGTATGTGAGCATCGCCAGTTGTGGTGCAGAGAGGTGCTTGTGCACCATGCAGCCGTAACGCACTGTCACACGCTAGAGGCTGCTAGAGTAGCTCTGGACCGGCGAGACAGGCCAAGTAAGTATCGATGTGTCTTTCCATCTGTTTGGGGAAGAAACTTAAGTAACTATATCTGCTTGAGTCTATGAGCGCGTTTGGAACTATATTTGGATAACTCTATCTTTACGGAGTATGTGTCTTTCTTCGTGTGAGTCTCTACTGTCTATGTATCGCCGTAACTCTATGAGTCGCGACGGTTACGGTGATATCTTTTTTTCTTCGCGTTTTCTTCATTTAAATCTCACCCGTCCTCCCTTGACGACATTCCAGTTAGTTCCTGACGTTGACAGACGTCCCTCATAAGAGCAAGCAGCAGCGGAGGGCAGCGCGCGTAGAAGCACGAGTTGTGTTTCTACAATCCATGTCGCAGAAAGTTTTCTCTGCGGCATTCTGTCAAGCACGGCAACATCACTTTCAATGCAACTCAGGCAGGAAGGCTTTGCAGGCATAAGATCCTCGGCGAGACAGAGCAACAGAGCTTGAGGTGGATATTGATTTTACTCGGGGGCGTCCTTGGTGCCATTGCTGTGGCCCAAGTCGTCTTGGCTGGGCGTCGTGACGGATCCCGGCAAAGTGGACATGTTAGTGAACCGAGGTCGGGATCGCGCAAGTCTACTTCCTCTCAGAATGAGATAGGTCGTGTTGTGTCGCGACGAAAGCGAAGAATAAAGCCTGCGTTCTGCATGAATCAGCTTCTGTGGGTCGATGCAATGAACTAATTTCCTGGTTGGACAGAGTTCACGCTTTGCAGCATGATGTCGCATTCTTTTGCTGCTTAGCACTGCACCTGTCATCAAGCTAGGGAGCTGCTTCTCTCTTGAAGTTCGATATTCTTAGCAAACGTCACCCAGGGAAAGTTGCAGAAATCAAAGTTCCCACGTCGACATGGCAGATGGCGGCCCCACAGGGCCGCGGCCAGGTTGCCAGGTTGGGGCAATCAGGCGCCGTTGCGGCGCATCAGCGTCGTCTCGCGAGCCTCGAGCCAGATCTCGTTTTGCAGAGGATCCCCAGAGCTGGAGCCAGAGATGCACTCCCTTGCAGCCATCTTGCAGGAGCCGTGGCCGTGGGGGGGGGGGGTTGTGGGGATAAGCGGCTAGTCCCACCAGTCTTTCAGTCTTTACGAGGAGCGCCTGCCGCCCAGATCTCCGAGCGAGAAAGCTCCGAAGTCGGCGCCTTCTCCTCGAGGAGGATGGGAGTGTACAAAAATCCTTATGTTCTCTTCTTAGAGGTTTAGAGTTTTGTGGGCAACGCCTGGTGAAGGCTCGCGGCCTCCATTGCCAAGACTGCAGGCAGCCGGTGTGGCAGTGGCGCGAGCAGAGGTGCAGCACGGTTGCACCAGGTCGCGTGTGCTGCATTGTGCTGGTGGGCGGAGGCTGGGACCCGACAGCGATCGAACGACGATCTGGTTGCAACTTTGGCTTCACGGCTGGCACAGGTGGAGCAGCAGAATAAGACCCTCAGACAAAACCATTTAGGAACAAGGATTCGCTGTTTGAGTGTCTTTATTTCACTGAATCTTTTATGTAGCGAGCATCACGAACTTGATCCAGCACGTCCCCGGAGTGGTTCTTGTCGCTGCCTTCGCCAGTTTTTGACGTCTATGTCTCCAGTCCAATCCATCGGCCTCCCTGGCCAGTTCTCACAACCTCTGACGTATGTTGAATCTCGCAGAGTTGTTTTTGGACCGGGTTTCAGTGCATTCGGATGCCTTTTTGTTCGATGCCACCGTCACAGCCGTGCGTCTCGCCTGGAAGCCAAGGACCCTGAAGGACAAGCTGAACAGACAGACGCAAGAGATTGAAGAACTTCGTTCGCAGTTGGCCGCACAGGGTGGACATCAGTCATCAGGCAGACATGGCAATCTTGCTTCATCTCGGTCGAGATCCTGTCAGCTTCACAACGCATCGGAGGTGGCGGTTCCGTCGCCGAAGCTGCCGAAGCTGAATGTAGACACCTGCGCAGGCAGGTCGAGGTGATGAAGCAGCTGCTGGCAGCAGCCTGGTGAAAGATAGTGACAGCCTGTGTCAAGCACGTGTGCATGCGTGTGTGTGGCGTGCGTGGGCGTGCATATGTACGCGTGTGTGTGTGTGTGTGTGTGTGTGTGTGTGTGTGTGTGTGTGTGTGTGTGTGTGAACCTCCCTAGCACATGGGAGCAGAGGGTCACTCCTACACTGTTTGCAATTTCGCTTTTCAACATAATCCGGCATTGGACATTTTCCAAATCAACTGTTGCAGGGGGATCAGGCTTCCAGTGACTGACCTGATCCAACGAAGCTAGGTCACTGGAAGGGAAGTGATTGAGGACGCTCAGTCATGTACCTGCGCAATTTTCGGCAGCCCCCTGTGGTGCCAAGATTAGTTTGAGGACAGGCCCCCTGTGGTGTCCAGATTATACAAACAAGTTGTACGGTTGCCACAATCTGAAAAACTTTTGCAACATGAACAACATGCCTCTCTTTTTCCTCTTGCACTCGTACTCTTGGCCGAATCCATCAGTGTGATCAGCGTGGGTCGTTGAGACTCCAGAGCAACGGCTTTCCGTCATGGCGCCGTGGTGACCCTCCGGGGAGACCGGTGATGAACCGGGTGTTCAGCCTTCGTTCAGATCGTTCAGAATCTCCCGATGCTACTTTATCTCTCTCTCTCTGATGCTCGCATGTGAGTCTGACATGAGTGCAGGTGCAGTAAGGGACGGCTAATGCAGTAAAGTGCGTCTAGTGAGCAGGTGCTACCTCGCTAGTCTGCCCTCTATTCTACCGCTTCTTTATTCCTCAGGGACTGCAAGGGCATGTGCACCTGACATGAGGGCAGACGCGGTAACAATGTCTACAGCAAGTGAAACAGCGCTCTCTTCGGAGAGTACTCGGCCCTCTTCCTTCTCTCCGTCTACGACCTCTCAAATCAGTCCAGCAGGGACAACCAGGACAGCCTGCACTTTGCTTGTGCAACTGTGTTTGTTTCACCCACTTCGTTGTAGCTATGTGGCCGGATTATTTTACCGCGCAGCCACCAGCAACACCATACGCACCAACAACCCGACCGGTGCTTAATCAATTTCACCCGAACACCTGGGTACCGCAGTCACAAGGCTACCCAGCAATGATGCCAACTGGCATTGCTGCCACTCAGCAGCACACACTGCCGACACAACCCACTACGATCCCTGTCGAGCAGACGCACAGCTTCCCCATGATGCCGTGTGGACACACTGCTCCTATTCCACAGCATCCGACGGTATATACACATCTCAGCACACCACAACCCCAGATGCCACAACAACCTCCAACCCAGCAATTCATGTCACAACACCCCCCCACTTTCTTGAACCCTGCTCTTTTGCCTACCCATCCAACAGTTTTTCCCACGAGCCCATCCAATCTGACACCGCATCAGCCCCAGCCTACCACATACAACATTCCTTTTACACCACCTGCTCCACAACCCCAACCTGCACCTTACAACATCCCTTCCACACAACCCGCTCAACAACCCCACATACCGCCGCCAACAACAATCCAACAAGCTTCACAATCTCACCCCACCAGTGTTACCACTACCGATGCTGCACACATTGCCCCGCAGACACCGGCAATGACTCCCCAACCCCAACCAACAAACACAGCCAACACCCCCTCCGTTAGCACATTGCCACCCACACAACCACCCCCGGCTACGGGATCGGCAGACACCGACCAGTTCGCAGCACGCACTTCTCCCCACCACCCTCCGTTGCCACGCAGGCGACGGCGCTCACCCACACGCAGCAGAACTCGCACCGTGAGCACTAGACGCCGACGACGCACACGCAGCAGAGCACGACCTGCAAGCAGCGGGGGACAGCACCGCCGACGCAGACACCACCGATCCCGCGACACCCGCAGAAGTCGTTCTCGCAGGGACACCAGGCGATCTTCGTCGACACCTCCGCGGACCTCGGTTGTGCTCCGTAGCTATTCTACAGTGCGTGATGATGATGCCAACAAGTGGCATTACAGAGCCACACAGCCACGTCAGAGGCCACCTACCCCACCCAAGGTCCCACAAAGGACATTGGCCTCGCAGGTTCAGCGAATCGCCCTTCGCATCAAGGGCAGCCAAGCAGCACAACAGCAGCCCCCAGCCGGACAGGGCACATCCTCCCGCCAACAGGTTCAGCACAATCCCTCCAGCTCTATTCGGACACCTGCCCCAACTTTTGATGCATCCACAGCTGCTGCCCCATCGGGTCAGCCAACCCTCGAACAACTGGGCAAACAGAGCAGACCACCACAGATTGATGTGGCGCCTTTTTCTGAGCTTTACGATCATGAAAAGCCGACCCCCCACGCTGTCGACATGGAAGAAGCACATAAACTCGCCAAAACCTTGGGCGAGATAGCTGCTGACAGCGATTTCAGGCAGGAGACTTTAGCCGAATTTGCACATGCCGTGCTACAGTCAGGCACGCGATCAGCGTGCAACGAACTGGGGGCAGTGCTGACGCCAATATCGGACGGCGTGCATACTATGTTATTCATCCCGTGGGCTGGAGAGCAGCGCAGAGCATTCGGCACTCGTGCCACCGACCCACCAGGGGAAACATACATCTACACCGCCGGACACGGCACGAGCATTGCAAGTGCCGCGCGCATTATGCGCGAGGACTTGGTCCGCCCAAGTTCAGTCAGCCATTGCTTCGACGACAAGTCCTATCCACCCATTCCCTCTTGCGTCATATACGGGAATGCGACCCCAGGAGATGTATCGGAAAGCACGGTACATATAGTTACCGATCAATGTACACGGCGGCCGAAGGGCCAACAGGGAGTGATCGTCAT